AATTAATTCTTCCTGTAAGGCTGACTTACTGGCGTTATTTTCTCATCAATAGGTATCTCGACAACAACACCTTTAAATTTTTGGAAATGCTGCTATATTTTTATGTGATGTGGACTCGACGGCGTTTACACTAACACCTAATCGCAGAACGCCCAATGCTAAGGACGTTACTTTCCCCAAGATATCTTTAGTGCCGTTTTTATCACATATAAAACAGCAACTTCAATTTTGTCATTGACTTGGACATGAGTTTTAAACGATCCTAAAATAATTAGTGGCTTAGTGCTACCATAGTCGTAAAATGTTTGTCCTGTGATCTATCCATGTCAAAAACATTTATTTTATTTCTCTTTAGTTTCTTCCACGTGACATCGGTTAACAAATTACATTTACATCCAGAATCGATCAATAATGACGTCTTGACACCACCTACCCAACAATTAATATTAGTGTCGTCGTCTATAAGAAAAACATAATCGATTTCTTCCTTTTCCTCCCTCCTTGATTTTTTGTGGCGGTAGAGTCTTTTGAACTTGAAAATTGTCTTTTAGGTGGCCTTCCTGTCAAACAATACTTCCGAAAGTGTCCAGTTATACCACATTTATGGCATTTAATTTTCCTTGCGGTACATTCTACTGATTGAGGCATATGCTTAAAGCTCCCACACAATTTTATTCACGATACTGCTATTACATGCGGAGTTGTGAGTAAATTTATCCATCTGTCTATTCACACTTTCTAAAGTATTTGCTTCTATTATGATATCCTTTAATGTCATTTTGTCACCTCCTTTTAAAAAAAATTTACGAAGCTCACCTGAGTAACACTTTTCTGTAATTTGATCGATAATGCTTTCGTCCTTATTTGCAAAATCACATTTATCAATCTATTTAAAATTTTCTCAAATTTTTCTCCAGATTCCTGTTTCATTAGCCGAAATAAGTGTCTCTCGTATACTTTGCTTTGTTTTGGAGCAAAGTACTCGTCTAACTTTTCAATAGCTATAACATGAACATACTTCGTTGGATCATCTGTACTGCTAACATGGGTTCCTGGTATATTATAGTATATTTCTTGGAGACTAAGGCCACCCATGTGTAATAATGTAACTCTTTTTTTTGCGGGTAGTTCAATATTTGCAGCTTCTAGATAAATGTCTAATCCTCGCTTCCACTTCTCCCATTTTGCGCCAACGCCATGAAAATCCCCATCACAATCAAATGATTCTAGAGGGGGTAGTGATGACCTTTTTTTTAATATACAAGCAGATAATAACCTATATTTTTGTTACCTTTTTTAATAAAATGGGGCACATTTCGAATGCATGCAGCATGACAACTAAAACAGTGACCAATATATCTTTTAATTACGTGTGTCTATTATTAGACCGTCACATTCTCACGACATCTCAGCCTTTGATAATTTAAACCATTTTCTGGGACCTAAAGCATGTCCATGACTGAACCTTCGCTTTAGTAAAACTTGGACCGTCACCAAAAAGTGTCCATGCTCCTGGACCATCTCATTGGGGTGTCCATTTTATTTTAACAAAGATAAATCATGACAACTCAGCCTTTAATAATTTAAACAGTTTTCTGGGACCTAAAGCATGTCCATGACGGGACCTTTGCTTTAGTAAATCTTGGACCATCACTAATAAGTGTCCATGCTCCTGGACCATCTCATTGGGGTGTCCATTTGATTTTAATAAAGATAAATCATGAAGACTCAGCCTTTAATAATTTAAACCGTTTTCTGGGACCTAAAGCATGTCCATGACTGGACCTTTGCTTTAGTAAATCTTGGACCATCACCAATAAGTGCCAGCTCCGGATCTTTGGGGTGTCCATTTGATTTTAACAAAGATAAATCACGGCATAAACAATCAAACTGCTATTGCCAGTTGTCCCTAACTTTAGGCTCCGCATTCTAACCTATCTTTTAAAAGAGAATACATCAAATCCTTACATAAAACTTTTCCAGTTTACATAAAAACATTTGTAATTACTTACACTATTTTTTCCTCGTCGCCAATATACAACACGCTGCTTTGTTTTGCACAATGTACATGGTATCACTTATTACACAATGTCACTAACACACTTCACGTTACACGGTACACATCTAAAGTATTAACAGAGATGTCTACTCACCAGTTACAATTCAATTGCCCGATGTTGCCAAAGTGGGGGGGTGTTTATACACTAGTAGCGATGACTCATTAGACGATTGTCTATACACTACAGACAGTATCAGTCTGGTATATAGTCAGTAATCTAGGGTATCAGTAGAAGAAAAATTATGTGTTTAGGTAAAATGTCACAAATAGCTTTTTATTTTGAACTATATTATTGATCATTAATCTAATTTCTCTATAATATTTGTATTTAATAACTTATTTTATCTATACTTTCTCAAATTTGCAATGCCTAAAAAAAGAATACTAAGTTGAGACAAATTGTTATTATTATAATATGAAGCTTTGTTATGGTGGTAGTATGAATGGATCAACTCGACTAGGGTACAACCACACTCAAAGAATACCCGCGTAAAATAGCAGCCTAATGCTGCTGTGCTTTGTGTGATAAGTGTAGACATCTGGAGACTTTTTACTGGGAACAAGGCATTCCATATTAGTTCCATCAAAAGAGGTGAATTTCTGGCAGTTGACTTTAACATCTGATGAAGAATACAAATACAACATGTTGAATAAAACTGTTATAATGGTCATAGGTGTTATGGGTGCTGCAAAGCACGGAAAATATCGGAAGATAAAAGTAAGAAATTTAAATGGGATAATATCCGTATAAGTTTTATATTTAGTGGTTTTGTTTCCTTTTATTCTACTGTTAACAAAACTAACTTTATCATCATCATTACAGCCTTTATAAGTCCATAGCTGAACATTGGCCTCCCCCAAGGAATACCACAAAGCAGAGTCCTGAGCCACCAGCATATATCGACTTCCTGTATATCTTACCAGATTGTCACCGCATCTAGTGGGGGGCTACCCTACACTTTGGCTACCGGCACAAGGCTGCCACTTGCGAACCTTTCTTCTCCATTGGTTGTCGATTCTTCGAGCTATATTGACGGTCCATTTCCACTTCAGATTATTAATCCGCTATGTCACTTACTCTTGTTCTACTGCAAATACCCTCATTTCTAAGTTTATCATGTGGTAAATCCCTGAGAACAGCTCACTCCGTAGCACTCTAAGTGACCTTGAGCTTCCTTTTATGTAATAAGTATATTTGTAGTTGCAATTAGTAAATAATGCAATACCTTACATAATTCACTATTGTAATGAGCCTCATTAATATGTCATTTTTATTTATAGGTATTCTGATGCCCATGATGCCATCTAATTTATAAAATATTAAAATGATGGAGGTTGACACCTCAAAAATTTTTGAGAGATGGTAAGTGATATTTTTGAGAGAAGGTATATTATATGAAGGTATATTTATTTGACTGTATATTTTGTGTGTTACACTCAATGACTTTTATTAGATACAGGTTTAGTGTTTTAAGTAAATGATACTTTATGATTCCTTATATTTACTCGAACACTACACATTGAATAAAACTACTTGTACAGATCTTATCGCGTTAAAGTTAGTTGATTTTAATTCTCATGGTTATGGGGGACTGAGATGATTGGCGTCCCAATGTCAGTGCTACCCAGAGTACGTTCAGCTGTTAAAAACTGGAAAGCATCCGAAATTCAATTGAAATCAACTAAATAAAACGCGATAAAATCTGTAAAAGTAGTTATGTTAAATGATACGTTTTTAACCTTACACTTGCATAATAATTTTTACAATGTCTAAAGACATAAGATGGCATTTCGACTTTTAATAAATTGTTTTACTGCACTTGACAAAACTAGTAGCAGTGACACTAAATGGTGTGTGTGTGACTGACTTGAATAAACTCCTGACGATTCTCTTACAAATGCATGATCATTTCAGGTGCATATTATGAATCTACAAAGTTAGATTTTTTAGTCCGAATAGAATATTACCCCATATCTTATTCATGTAAATCCGATGGTAACTGAGGAAAGAGTTTTTTTATTTAATCTATTTTCAGTATTCCTGATAATAATATATATTTTGATACATGCAGAAATGCCCATGCCATCTACTTCTGGAAATAAGGAGGATTGACACAATGAATATCAATATAGGAAAATATTCATTTATACTTTTCTCACATCTTTTTCTTATTATACAAACAAGCAAATTAAAGAAGCCATTAAAATACACCTATCTATATTATCCTGTGTTTATTAATGGAAATCTTATGAATGTGCGACAGATTGTAGAATATCTAAAAATATAGCCATATCTAAACTTGCGACCAAAACAGTAGAATGTGCATGCTAATCTGCCAAGTACAATAGTAGATTGTTTACAAGCTGATGTGAAGTCAAACAATGGAACTATTTTATTAACACTTTGAATGCCCTTTTAAATATCAATGATAACCACGGGGGCCCACATAAAAATTTATAAAAATATTGAGTGTATGTAAGAAAACATAAATTGGGACTATATAATAATATTAATTTATTTATTATTATCGTTATTCTATAATTATTATCGCCAACACGGATCCGTGTTGGCGAGGGTTGTGCAATAAAGAACATGTTATTATTACAGTAAGTACTTCTGCTCCTTTGCACCATAATGACCACCCCATAAAATGACAGATAGTGTAAACAACAAACATTTTTTATTAATTTAAAACATAAGAAGGTAGGTAAATAAGGCACATATATACACAATATATTAAATACATAACACACTTTAAGAGTGGACATTGCTAAAACATGCTGTACAATATCCTGGGGATCCATCACATCCTTTGCACTCGTATAAGGTAGCTACTCTTTTCTTCTTGGCTCTGCAGCCCTTGCATTCCTTTCTGATGATTTCTCTAGTAATTTTTGTGGAATTACCATCTCGTTTTTCACGTAATTTTTTTTATTGATTTTAGGCGAATTGTTCCTGTATGCAGGAGCAGTCCAAAAATGTCCAAAATTGGTCTCTTGATTGATCTGTTACACCAGGTGAAGATAGTACTCTTACTGCGTGAGCGTTAGTTTCTTGCACAATTAGGTCTATCAATTTATCATTAATCAAAAGTCTCAATGCTTCAAAAGGATTCGCTGGAGGCGGTACTAGTAGCTCTTGTGACTGAGTAAAGTAAATTGTCTTCATTGAGCTTCGATCAGTGCTCCAAGTTTCTGTAGGGCAATCTAGAGAGGGTACATTTTCTTCGTTTCGAATAGCTGCAGCTACCTCTCTCGAGAGTAAATTTTCTGTATTATTTGGAATAGGCGAACGGAAAATAGATGGGCTGACTAAATCACCACGTTCTGAAGATTCTTTTCGAGATGGTAAGTTTTCCGCAATATTACGAATAGGCGAGTGAGGCAAAGACGAGCTAGGTGAATTATGAGGTTCGGATGCTAAATTGCCATCACAGTAGTCAGGAGTAGGCACGTCCGATCTTAACAGGGAAAAACTAGGGGTAGACATATTCTCTCGCAATAGATAATCAGGTAAGTCAGGAAGTTCATTGTAATCCTGTTCTATGGAAGGGATATGCCGGCTATTTGCTGGTGGTGGTTGTGGCATAAGCTCATCCTCCATTTCCTTAGGAGATTGCGGCATAATATCATCTACCGTTTTTGAAGCAGAGGACAATTGACACATGCGATGGACGTGGTTTAGAAGCTATTGTTACGAGCTTGAGGTCCGTGACAATAAAAATTGCCGATAGGATTACCTAAATTAACACTTTAATTTTCTTTACACAAATTAAAACTTAAAACACCAATAATTAAGCACACTAATTTACTTTATTCCGCTCCGAAGCTTCGCTTGTCTCGTCAAATTCAATACTTCCCAGATCGCACCTTGCAGCGTCTATAAATACACATTAGTACCGAATCATTCAGAACATTCAAGTAAATACGCGCACCAATCGACAAAGCGCCGAAAGTTCGAGAGTCAGCTTCCAGAAGCTTAGTTCCTCATTTCGACAACAGATGGCGCTGTCGGTTGAAAGATTAGTGATGTCATTTTCTGGAAAGCTCTCCCCTCGCTCCGTTACCTGACACTAGATGGCGCTAGTGCCAGATGTCAACTTAGCCGCGCAACACTATGTTATTTGATTTTGTTGACGTCAAGGCTGAACTTGACTTCTGGAGAGTGTTCAATGTATGCTTTATCATTTCAGGTTGTTTCCGAGTATCAAAAATGCTCAAATTACTGTCATCACTTTCCTCTTCAGATGATCCATCTTCATAATCACATTGCGAATAAACCTCTTCATCACTCGAAAATTCTAAGAAATCCATGTCAATTCCTTCACCTTTATCACTACTGTTACGTCACTTTTTGCAAAACGATGTCTTTTTGACGCTACTAGAACGCTTAGAAGTACTCGGTTTACTATTCATTTTGGTAGGAAAACACGTCCTTTTCGTTAGCTAATCAAAGTGCAACTAAACAAGTTATCAAAAATCCAACACAGGTTTTCGTAAGTTCCCCCCCGAACGGGTTCCCGCCTTGTCGTGGCGGGGGGGCTTAGAAGCCGTGGCTTGGTCACCCACGGTGAAACAAAGAGGAACCCATATGGCTGGTCCGAGGTGGAGGGCCGGCCCGAGGTGGCCACTCCGAGTGGGCTTGGGAAGCCCACTTCGGATGTGTGTTGGTGGACTGCGGTGAGAGGTGTGTCCTCCCCCACCTACCGCTGCAGCCGAGGTGGAGTCGCGGAGGAAGAGGAGTGTTGGTATGGCGATGCGCCACTCGCCCTATCCTCCGCGACTCAAACGGGGCCGCACCGTTGATGCGGTGGTGATGGGGCTGCGGGGGGGAGAGGATTGTCGGTATTGCGAGGCGCCGCTCTCCCTATCCTCCGCAGCCGAATCTTGGTTGGCGGCGGAGCCATAGACCAGATCCGCCGCTGGGGTCGGGAAGGCTAGTACTTCTAAGTGCTCGTTTTTCCTGGCCCCATGGCCTTCGCGCATCGGACGCGGGGGCGTCTGTTGCGCAGATGTAATTGGAGGCCGTGGAGGAAGGCGTGCCATGTGTTCTGGTGCGCCTTACTTGGGAAGGAGAACGGGGAGGAATATTCCTCTCCCGATGAGGTGCTACCATGGGGCGGCAGTCGCTGGTGGGGCCGCGGAAGTGTGCGAAAGCGTTCCTGTAGCCCTGCAAATATGCGACGAAGGTGGAACACCATGGGGTTTTAGTCGGTGCGAGTCCGACATAACCCGTCCTTGCCTCCGCGAGGCGGGTATGCGTAGGCATTTCCCCATGTTAAAAAAAAAAAGGTTTTCGTAAGTTTAATTATACGTACGGATGGCCAAGCATACAACGTTAACTTGCCGCGAGAGCCCAAAGCTCACTACCCAATAGAAAAATGTGCGAGAGTAATACACGGATCCGTGTAATAGGCCCTGCTTTTACACCCACTAGCACACGGATCCGTGGAGTGGGCACTGAATGTGTTAATTCAATTGTAATTCTCATTTGTTTATGTTGGATTTTATTTTATGAATAACTTCTATGTGACCATTGAAAAATTAACCCGTAGTGACTGATTTATTGATCTAAAAAGGACCTTTGCAATACTCACACAATGTTAAATAAAATGCTATGTTTATCAACTCATTATTACTTTTTTTAAATAAAAATTTATCTTTGTTGCAGGTTAAAAACTGCCTAGGAGCACTCAGCTATTAAATAGCTTAAGCTTTGAATATTGCTGCATATTTGGTAAATGAGGGAGCAACAAGCACAAACCATAAATACTACAAGGAGAAAAATTTGAGAAAAGTTGTTACATCTATTGAATTGAATATGTGACCTATGTGCAAAGAACCAACAGTTCCTTCGATAAAAAAATAGATTGTAATTATAATTAATATATACACTTGTAAATTTACACTGAAATGTTAAAATAAAAGACAATAAATATTTCTGTATTTTATTTCTTTATATCTAAATAAATGTTAATAATGGTTTAAATTTATGTACGTGGTCATATTGTGAACACGTACATAAGTTTAAACCAATAATGATAAATTTTTAAAATTCTGGGAGGTTTATTTACAGCCACTGGCTATTAGGCTGAAACAAATAAATGCCTTTGCTTTAGATAAATTTCAAAACCTAAATGTCACTTTCAATTTTTGAGGCTCGCTATAGACCAATTTTTTAGTATGGTAGATTGTCTGTACGTTAGTACTCATGGTTAGTACTTTTATTAGTTTGTGGTCTACGCCTATGGGAGATTGTCTTCCTTACCTCTATACTCATTGTCTTTGTTCACATCACAGATTAAGTTAGACCCACATTCCACAGGTATAATAGTAGTATGTTATAGTATGGAGTGTTATAGAGGTAAGCATGGAGGTTAGAGAACAGGAGAACGATCGCCGTAGAAAATAGTGTCCCAGTAATATAGACACTATAAGTGAAGCGCTGTGATCGCTAAGTTCGCTCAATAAAGTCATTTTCAGTCTATTTTTCCGATCAGATGCTAAACCACTAGCTGTGTGTGCACATTCAAATATCATAAATAATAATCGAGAACTTTACCGATAAGATAATCGAGTACATAATATTTAATAAACATCGTAGTGATAATAGAAATGTGACAAGCACACTCCTCACGAGATTAGTTATATGTTTATTTATTTTTAAGTTAACCCTTAGGTGTTACAAATTAGGTTTAAAATTGAACACGCAAGCACAACGGCACTTCTTACGACACTAATTTATATTAGCAACATATAAACAATAAAAGTAAAACGAGACTACTTAACCCTGCAGTGCTCGCGCCTTATAAAATAATGTAAATGGTCGCGTGGATTACGTATGTAGTCCAATTTAAAATATGAAGAGGGCTTTAAAATATCAATTAAAATGTATTTTTATTTTATTACAAATATGAAACGAGGTAACATTTAGTCAACGGTTAATCATATTTAATAAACAAATACTATATATACGTCCTTTTTTATTCAAATTATTGTACGGTGCAACCGCACATATCGCCCGATCAGCATTTTTGCCTTCAACACTTATTTTTATTGTTCATTGAATCTGTTCACATAGCATCGCCACACAGCGCGTTCGTGTACTCATCCTTAGCTATTAACAGTTTTTAAATATATTTTCTCTTTTCTATCAAGCAGCATATTTTATTTATATCATCAGCAGCAGCATTTTAGGTGTAACGTACAATTTTATGGTCCTTCGAGCTTACCGTGAGCGGGACCTCTGTCGCGGGTGACCTAATTTGAATTGCGAAAGCGGTACGCGCCACGTAAGTCAAACAGCGGCAGCATTGGTAAGTCAATAGCTCTCTATTATAATCAGCAACTACAGTAATTGTTCAAAATGGAAGATCTTCTAGCTAGCTAGAACCAAATAATGGGAGCTCCATATCAGCTCCTAATCAACTTTCAAAAAGACGGTGCCGACCGCAAGACACCGGCTCATATTAAAAAAACGACTTAGCACTTTAGAAAGTTATTGGCAGGAGTTTCAAAGTAATCATTTAAAGCTTTTTGATTCTGACGATAAATCTCATGAATATTTTATTGGCAATTACTATAAAAGAACATCCGATTTTTATAACGAAACGCGCAATTATATTCTTAGTCATTTACCGAGTGACTAAAGAAAAAAGCCTTCTCAGGCCAGCTACCCCATTGCAAAAGACAGGATTTTCAGCTATACCATCTGCCAGCGCACTCCGTCCTGAAACTACAGCTGACGCAGAAGCATCCCGAACCCAAGGTACTAGCAGCAAGTTAGAGGATATGTTCAGAAAGCAGAGAAGCAACTTCAAAGCTTTTTAGCGAACTATTAGCAGCATCGATCTCGACAAAGTCTCTGAAAAATGGGAGTATGAGGATATTCTGAAGTCGATTTAGGCACGCTGGACGATAATAGACGGCCTTGCACTGGGAAATAGACAGCGAACTGTATGAAGATAATGAACACTATGAAAAAATGTTCAGCAGCTATGAGCAAAAATTCAATAACATGAAAAAAGTTATCAACAGCAAGATGTGGTCTGATCTTTACCGGGAGAAGACAACCCCAAAAACGGACATCCCCATGTTCAGTGGGAGCTACCACCAGTGGTTGTCGTTTGAGGACTTGCTCATCGTAGCTATACATAGCAACAGAGCCTTATCAAACAGTCAGAAAATGCAATTTCTGAAAAGTAAATTAAAAGGAGAAGCAGAGAAAATAGTGCAACATTTACAGATAAGCACAGACAACTATCAAGTACGTTGGGATCTTTTAAACCAACGGTATAATAACACAAAGCTTATTTTTAATTCTCACATGAGTGTCTTAGTGAACCAACCTACTATACAACAGCAGTCAGCATCTGCGATTAAAAAGATTCATGATACTACCAATGAATGTCTAAATGCCATCAAAAATCTGGGAGTCAACATGGAGAATTGGGACCCCATGATTGTTTACTTAATTACTCAGAAATTAGACGCGGACACACATAACAACTACATCGAGTCATTGAAACACCCAAGAGATTTACCGACTATAAAAGATCTATTACAATTTTTGGAGGTTAAATTCACAGCCCTAGAATCGTCAAAACGAAAACTAGACCTATAGAAATCAAATCAGCAGCCGCAACAATCATCTCAGCCATCTAATTTCAAAAAATAATTAGTTTTTAAAGCTTTCACGAGCAATCAAAATCCGTCATTTAAATCAAATAATTTCAATAATAAAAGTAGGTTTGCGACCGCACCAAAGCAAAAATGCCCAATCTGCAATAAAGATCACGCTATTCCGTATTGCGAAACATTTTTAACATGTCGACCCGATTTTAAGCGACAAATAATATCCAAGCTATATTTATGCCAAAACTGCCTTTATAATCATAACGGTAACGAGCGTTTTTCAAAAAAAAGGTGCCATAAGTGTCAAAGCAATCATCATACTCTGGTTCACGAAGCCTTTACCGTAACAGTAAACGCTGCAAATCCGAGTGCAACGACCGACCGCGCGGTGTCAAACTCACACGTGTCTCTGGAGGACACTCAGAAGATTTTATTGGCAACTGCTATAATGCCATCAAAAACATAACTTGTAAAAAAACCAAGTCTGGCAACTCAATTCTTCTACCGTAAAAAGTTGTGAGATCCATGTAAATACCAAGTTGGTTAATTTATTCTGTCCCTACTTAAGGGTCCTTCTGTTTTAAGTTATTACGTAATTACCTAACCTAACAACATTTTATAGTGACCATATCAATGTTAAAAATCTTATATGTTTCAAATAGATTGACTTGGCCATCGCA